CGTGCCCCCCCGCCGGGCGCCGTCGTGGCGGCGGTCTGGGCCCAGCCTCCTCACCTGGCCGCGTCGTTGCAGGTGCGCGGCCCCTCGCTCGATCCCGCCTCGAGCAGAGTGCGGGGTGATGCGCAGCCTCACGTCCCGTCTGCGGCCATGGACGAGGCCCCCCTGCTTGGCGGAATGTCCTGCCCAGAAGATGAGATGGTGACAGACCTTTTCAGTCCTGAGAGTCAGTTCGTTTCCGAAAACATGGCCCTGAAATCTGCCGTGGTGGTGAAGCACGAGGAGGACGAGTTCCATGTCTTCAAAGACGCCTACCTGGGCGCTGACGACGCCAAGGAGCCCCTCCTGCACGCCTTCAACCCCGCGCTGGGTGCCGACTGCAAGAGCAAAGTCAAAGTGGAGCTCCTGGTGGATGACGACCAGGAGGAAGCCCTTGGCGAGTATCCCGGGCTACAGGAGCTCCAGGCCCTTGACGACGCTGTGCTGCCTGCAGCTCCGCAGCCGCAGGTCTACAACGTCCACTTCCTGTCCTCCCTGCTGACCCCGCACCGGAGTCCCACAGTCGTGCCCCTGGGTGCCTGGGCCAGAGACGGAGCTGCCAACCCGGGTGTCCGCATGATTCCAGTAAGAGCCGTTAGGAAGATAGGCACAGGACCCCTGTATCCCTTCTGGGCTTAGGTCTGTGGGCCTGCTGGCCTGTTCCAATATTTCCCCCTTCTGGTCTTTTTCCAGATTCTTAGCATCTCTAGTTAGACATCTTACACCTCACTGGATTCCAAAATTCTAGACAGGGCTCATCCTCATTGTAATCTAAGACGTGCCAACCCAGTTGTCAATGTAAAAAACATTTAGTGGGGACCAGCAACCACAGTTCAAATCCCATCCCGACCCTGTGGCTTAAAACTCATGTCAGGGGGACCAGCAGTTGGTGTAATGGCTATGTCACTAGGCTCCCATGTAACCTACCACAGTTCGAGTCCTGGACTTGAGGGCTTAAACTCAAGCCAGGTGCATGTGTGTGTGTACCCAAGATCGAGAGAGGAGAATGGAGAAGAAGGGATTGTGGTGTGGCCATCCACCCAGGGGGGTGATTTCTCGCTTTCTGTCTGTCTCTCTCTTTCTGGCGAGTGCACGCACCCTATAGCAAAAACCTCTCCAAAAAAAAACTCATGCCAGGTGCATGTGTGTATGTTTGCCAAAAATCCCAAGAGGAGAATGGAAGAGAAGGGATTGTGGCATGGCCGTCCCCTATGGGGGGTGATTTCTCACCTTCTGTCTCTGTCTCTCTGGAGTGAGCACCCACACCACATAGGGAAAATCTCTCAAAAACAGACAGTAGATCTCCAAATCTTGAATTTGGGAAGAAGTAGGAGATTCTAATTTGAGATGCACATGCTATGATGAATCATAGGTGGTGCATCCTTAGAGGCTGGGGTAAAGGAAAACTTCGAAAAGCAAAAAGAAGTATAAACTGTTTTGAAACAAACATTATTAGTCACTGAGCTCATTGCAAGAGGTGGTGTTAATTCATTGGTGGAAATGGCAAGTGTTCTTGTGAGGGTAGCTTATCTGAAACACTAATCTCAAGGAATATTTTACATAAATCTTGTCACTGACACAGGCAGGACATACAGGGCATGCAGGAATTTCTTGTGAGTAAAACATCACAAGAAACTTATGATTGGCCAGCTGGTGGCATGGAGATTAAGGAGGCTGGATCCCACATGGCCTATTGTGCCGCTGGAGTCCTGTACTAGAGGCTTGAAAATCATGCCAAACATGTGCATGTGTGCCCAGAAAATCCCAAGAGGAGAATAGAGAAGAAGGGATTGTAGCATGGCCATCCCCCCCTCCCCCCGCCAGTAGAGTGTTTGCTCTTTCTCTTTTTCTTTCTTTCTTTCTTTCTTTCTTTAGGCTTGGAAGCTGGGCTCTCCCCCCCCCCCCCCGCCAGTAGAGTGTTTGCTCTTTCTCTTTTTCTTTCTTTCTTTCTTTCTTTCTTTCTTTCTTCCCTTCTTCCCTTCTTTCCTTCTTTCTTTCCTTCCTTCCTTCCTTCCTTCCTTCCTTCCTTCCTTCCTCTCTTTTCTCTCTTTTTTTCTTTCTTGCTCCCTCACTCTCTCACTCCCTCACTCCCTCTTTCTCTTCCTCTCCTTCTCCCTCTCCCTCTCCAGGGAGAGTATGTGCCCTATAGAACAAGGGACCAGCAGATGGCGTAATGGTTACATTGTTGGACTCCCACATAGTTGACCACAATTTGAGTCCTGGATTCAGCAGTCTAAAACTCATGCCAGGTGTGTGTGCGTGCTTGCCTAAAATCCCAAAAGGAGAATAGAGGAGAAGGGATTACAGCATGGTCAAACCTCCCTCGCACCACTACCACCACCAGGGGTGATTTCTCTCCAGCGAGTGTACATGCCCTCTATCAAAAATCTCTTAAACAAACAAACAAAAACCACACACACACAAAACAGAAACTTCTTGTGATGATTCATATTTCAGACATGTATGCATAAGATCCCCTCCCTGATGACTTCCTGGGTCCACTTTGTTTTGGGTCTAACATAAGTGACTCCATATTTTCTTTTCTTTTGTTTTCTGCCTTTTTAAAGATTTTTTTTTTTTTGCCACGGGGCATGTGTGCTCATTGGAGAGAAACAGAAACAGAGGGAAAGTAAGACATGACCTCCCAGGGAGGATGGCCATGCTGCAATCCTTTCTCCTCCATTCTCCTCTCAGGATTTTGAACATGTGCACACACACACATGCCTGTCATAATTTTCAAGACGCTGGTTCTGGGACTTGAACAGTAGAGTTGGGCATGTGGGATCCAGTACTTTAACCACCTTGCCACCTGCTAGCTTTAATGACTCTATCTTGACATTAGTTTGGACATAGCCAACCCCTTCTACCTTAAGGTAGCCTAAATAGGCAGACAACATACAATAGAGGAGAGGAAAGGAATTAGAAAGTTTGTTCATTTGGGCCCTACTGCCATCATTGGCATTAGGAAAGAAGTCATTATCTCTAACTAGTGTCTATGAAAACAAATGTCATGTGATTGAGTGTTGGTGTGTTTGCTTTTTACATGTTTTTTCTTTGTAAGGCTCATCATTCCTAGCAAGGACTCAAAGTTAATACTTGTGTTTATTAAGTCTCCACATCAAGGTTTAGGGCTTCTCTTTGTTAATAAGTGATTGTTCTTTAAGCATGTGTAATATTAATCAGAGTCTACATAAATTCTTGCTAATTCTAGTTAAGTGCCGTCTTTAGCTATGTATACATACTGGTAGTCTGTTTTATTCTTGTTGAAACTAAACAAATCAGTTTACAAACGATCCCAAGAAAATGTATGCTGTTCTCCTATCTCCAGTAAAAGGATCCAGCTTGGAAAACTATTCATCCATTATATCATTTTTACTAAATTGTAGATTAAGCCTTTGTGAAGCATTTTGAGTCAGTCAGTGTTGAGATGGGTAGAGCCTTACTTCATGTATCAAAAGCCGTGGTAACAGGAGCTCGAATTTCTGCTTCTCCGGTTTCCTTTTATTGCACTTATGGCTCCTTCATGTAAAAGAAAAGTGGGTGATGTCTGGAGCTTCCAAATTCTCTCAGTCTGTGCATGGAGCACCACACTGCACTTCTAGTACTCCTGGCCCTCTCCTAATACAGAGTTCCTCAGAACGTTTTTCAGGTAATGTTAGAAATGATGTTAGATGATGTGTTGAGATATTAGAAATTCTGTTTTGTTTTGTTTTTCTCTTTCTTTTTTTTGGAGAGGTTTTTGCTATAGGGTGCGTGCGCTCACCAGACAGAGAGAGCCAGAGAGACAGAAAGCGAGAAATCAACCCCTGGGGGGATGGCCATGCTGCAATCCCTTCTCCATTCTCCTCTCAGGATCTTGGGCACGCACGTACACGTGCCTGGCATGAGTTTAAGCCACCAGGTCTGGGACTCGAACTTGGTCAACCACATGGGAGTTCAGTGACATAGCCATTACACCAACTGCTAGTCCCTAGAAACTCTGTTTTGCTACTAGACAAACTCGTATCCCAGCGCTTTCTGTTTGTCCTAGCTTGACTCCCTTGCTCCGCAAAGTCAGTGGCATTATCAGAACAGGGAAGGGAATAAGCTATGGACAGCAAAATTCTCTTTTAAAGTTTGGTTTTTTTGTTTGTTTTTTGGGTTATTTTTTTTTGGGGGGGGGAGGTTTTTGCTATAGGGTGTGTGCATTCACCAGAAAGAGAGAGACAGAAAGTGAGAAATCACCCCCTAAGGGATATGGCCACACCCCAATTCCTTCTCCTCCATTCTCCTCTTGGGATCTTGGGCACACACACACACACACACACACACACACACACA